CATTTTTTTTGCTTCTTAGATACACTCGGCAGCCAATGAGAGGACGCGTAGACGAGACCATATTGTTTTTTCACTTTTTATTAACAACATAAATTACGATAATTATACGCTTTAAACCTTCCTTGGTTAATAAGAAACTTATGAGCAAAAGATGATATCAAACTATGTAGTAGTTATTGAGAACTAAAACCATAACCGATCCGAGCTCGGTGAAACGCATACTCCCTCCGTTTTTTGCCAACCTGCGGTTGGCAGCAGTCGGGAGTAAAAAATGATTTTTAAATGAAAAGAAAAAGAGTTATGTATAATAATCATGATGATAATTCGATAGATATACGTAAATATATTTTGTATACTCATATATATTTTTTTATATTTTACACTTTTAATAAATAATTATCATACAATAAATAATGAATAAATATCATTTCCCGATTATACATTATCACGAGTGTGATCAAATGCTTGTTAAATTGATACGACGATAAATGGAATAACAGTTAAAGCTTGGGATAAAAAAATATGCAAACAAATTGTTATGTCGCATGATATGATAACTGCTCTGTACATGATATTCGGTATCAATATATGATTATACAAAATATAGATAATATTACATTTAATAGCGAAAATATCAAATGACCTAAGCGGAAAGTTACAATATAATGGAATGATGTTAAAGACGAATGAGAGCGACTTTTTGCTACTTTATCAACCGACGCGATACTTATGTGAAACTTGCATGACAAATGACAAATGTTTATTGGCGACAATATTGTCGCGACAACACCTATCAACGTTTGCATTTGCATTTGTTCGAACATATTTGTTGATGTTGCCAACTCACATTGCCAAACACGCACGTCAAATCAGAGTGGACATGATGTTTTTAAAGTTTTCTACAATATATGCAACATTAATAGTTTGCGAAAGAGAATAATTTCGCATAAATTTATATAAGTAATATTCTTGGGCATATTGTGATTTAATCTTGGTAATCGCTACTACTAGTCACCAGAAATTGCAAATGATGCTATTCTTTACACAGTAATGTAACATATGTAACATATTTTTATGAATAAACCGATAACGCAGACATGCTACACATTAGGAAAAAAGTATCCTCACGCAAATCGTATCGCGAGGCGTGTTCGCGGAAGAAAGGAAGAGAAAGACATTTCATTTATGAGATTATTCCAAAGAGAGCTTAGAAAACTTACACTTACGCAGTTTATCCTTCTATGATAAAGCAATCCTTGTCTTAATAAAGCAATCCTTAACACGGTGGTATGTTCGTTGGCGCGTATAATGGTCGGCGTGTCTCGTTTGCTTCGACAGCAGCTGGCGGCGGGTATTTTTAGCGTCTCACGTTGAAATTAAGCACGTCGTCTCGACAATCTTTGGTTCTGGCGCGTATAATGGTCGGCGTGTCTCTCGTTTGCTTCGACAGCAGCTGGCGGCGGGTATTTTTAGCGTCTCACGTTGAAATTAAGCACGTCGTCTCGACAATCTTTGGTTACGCCCGTTCTAACGACAATGCGACGATTAATGAAGACGAGGGACCGCGGTTTAATGCACCGCATGTTGACGGCGATCGCGTGCCAGACGCGGCGTGGATCTGCCTCTCGATCCGTACATCACTGTGATTTTTCAATCTCGATTTTTTACACGATTGATAATCGACGTAAAGCAATCAATCACATCTGTGATATTGCGATATAATCATATTCGTCTACATATTCACTATTTCAAGATCACGACATTTGCATCTAAAAATTTCACGTGTTACCTCGCTTTGACGCGAGATACACAGTTTTGTATAAATGTGTAAATATGTAAATGAAAGACTGAAAGAATGTAAATATGTAAATTACAAGTAAATAACCGTCGACGAAAGAGATGCAATGCATCACGTACTTATCAGTTTAGGTCGTTTGCATTCAAAAGAGTTTTTCAGCTAAAAAGAAATCATGTATTTTAAACTAAAAGGAGATGTTAATCGTTTTAAAAATAAAACGCATTCGTGTTTTTGCTACAAAATAAAACAAATAGTTACTCAAATGAATGAATGTATAAATAAATATGAGGAAGTATTATGTAATATGTAAATAATAAATAAACGACTATCTCGAGATAAGAGATGCAATATAAACGCGATGTGTTTATTGACTCGGGTTATACGTAGTGTATATCTGTTGCATTATTAACTCTGTTACGATATGATTTCGCCTCTCTCCTCTGTTGCAGTGTGCCAAAGTATAGACATAAGAAATAACGTGGATCAATTCTCAAAACTGGATGGGTGCCGGGTGGTCGAGGGCTTCGTACAAATTCTCTTGATCGACCGGGCGGAACATTCGGCCTATACCAACCTCAGCTTCCCCGATCTCGTCGAGATCACAGGATACCTTATTTTATACAGGTACAACTTTTTTATCATAAGTATTCAAAAGACGAAGGATTGTCTTTTCGTAAATTAAATCAGATTTACAGACTTCTTTATTCGCGTAAATTTATCCTTAATCTCGCTCGCTCGTGTTTCCAGAGTAAGCGGATTAAGGAGCATTGGTAGTCTGTTTCCCAACTTGACGGTCATTCGCGGGCATTCTCTTTTCATTAACTACGCCCTCGTGGCATTCGAGATGATGCATCTTCAGGAAATCGGTCTTCATTCTCTGACCAACATCCTACGCGGATCCGTGCGATTTGAGAAGAATCCGACGCTCTGCTACGTCGATACCATCGACTGGGACATCATCGCCAAAGCTGGCAAAGGGGAGCACGTTATATCGGTAAGCTTCTTTTTTTATCTATGACGTAACGCCTGAACTGGAACATGGAATTCTTTATGTAGGAAATAAACGGCTTAAATGAATCTATTTAAAACCAGGAATAATACTTCTATTTTCGCTCAACGTGAATTCGATTTTACTCTATATTTTACGTTGTACTTGCACGAGTGAACGAATTGACCGACATTTAACGAGAGTTCAAACGCGCGGTGCGGTATATAATCCACCGATAGTCCACCGATCTCGTCCGTCGTTTAGATTTATTTCGAAAGAATTACGCGCGAGTATTTTTTTCGCCACGGTATTTCGATTCCGCGGACGAGAGTAATATCTATCGGTATACGGGCGCGATTCGTTACGCTTCGCGGCGCGAAGCGAAACGATGCGCCGCGATATCTCTTGTTGGCGAATTGTTGAGAAGCAAGAAATCCGAAACGGACGCGGATGAGAATTACTTCTTCATTCACCTCTTACAACGCGTTGTGAAAACGCGAGTTAACGAAGTCACGAAGCGACGCTTCGCCATGAAACGACATAAATATACAGGGTATTCTATATAGGCAGGATATGCTACCGTATCGGTGTTACCGTATTCCTCGTAAAAAATTAACATTTATTTTCTTTGGAAAAATATCCAGAAATACATCATTTTCGAGGTTTCTCGAATTTCATTTTTTAATATGCCAATACAGTGCTCTTGCTATTTCTCGATTCTTCATGTAAATAATTCCGAGTGCAAACATTTTTTAGTAATTATGTTATAATTACTAAAAATATGTTATAATTAGATTTGATATATTTACATATTTATAATGTACTTTTATAACGAAGAAATTTTATCCGAATCGACGTAAAACAAATTCTTTTAGCGAATGTGGTTTCTGACTCTGATGTAAACAAAATAATTGCAGTTTTTTATTTCTTCTTATTACATATTCCGTGTTTAATTACTATAGAGTAGTATGCGAAGAATATTTCGATCTTTGTAATATAAGAATGTGGCATAGAAAATGAAATATCTCGAAAACGATATATTTCCGGAAATTTCGGCAAAGGAAAATGTAGGTAGTATCCTACCTACAACGGACATCCCGTATATCTTCCAAAGCGATTAAATCACTATATTGTGCTGCAGTAAAGTCATATAACGAGTGCGTATCTACGAATCGAATTATATACGAATAATTTGATAAGAGTCTCGGTTGTTTACAAGTTTTCATTTCATTTACCTTGAAGCAATTAAGAGTTGGTACACTTCGGTTTTCGATTAATCTTCGTATGCGCAACGTCCTACAGGAAACGTATCGTCGTAAGAAACGACAATGGCACAGGTCATCGAATACGAGCCTTTCGCAATGTGTTTCTCGATCTTCGTATCGATATAGCCGACAGCGTTAGAGTCCTGGTTTCTCTCTACGCGTAATTAATTCCGTACACAACAGCGGAAGAACTCCTTTAAGCTCTGCTTTAAAAAAATTTAACGCATCTTATTTTTTTCTCGAGAGAGGAAACAATATATTAAATTTTCTTTTTTAATTAATTTTTACATCCATCACTTGAAAAGGATCTTTATAGAAAGAGATTGAGTACGGAAACAGAATAATAACACGAAAGTGATTGATTAAACTTTGATAATGTAAAAAAGAAAAAGAAAGGTAATGCTTCAGGATTCCGGGATACTTTTCGAATTGATGCAAGAATTAAAAAGTTTATAGCCTTTATAGTTATAAACTTTACGAACATTCTTGCTTTTACATTGCGTTTGAAACTTTCCACAATTGCGTATTGAGTATGCGAGAAATGTCGAGAGAGC